CACACAAAAAAACAGGTATGTTCTTCGTGGTCCATCCCAGGAGTCGTTCGAACAACCTGCTGTGTGCCTTGGATGAGGCTGAGACTCAATTTCTTTATCTGTTCAATGGGGATGAATAATAGCTCTCATCTCAATAGCTTCACTGTGTAGTTAAATGATCAGTGGTGTAAACATCCCTGGTCCACTTCAGAACATCAGTGTTTTTCTTGCTGGTGCTGGGGAATCGGTTTCGAGCAGAGAAAGGAACACAGCCGGGCGCCAGGTCCTGGGGTGTGGGACCATCTCCCAGTGACCGCCGTCTTCTCCACGGCAGAGGTGAACAGACCCCCATTCAGGCTGCAGACGACGGTCAGAAGTGGACCCCTGGCTCTTCTCTATCTGCAAACTCACATGCCAGAGAAAATCCACATACGAGAAGCTGAGAACAGAGCAATCTGGCCCACAGTCCTTTTACCTGCGACATCTGCGTGGCTCCAAGTGAATTTTGAGCCCCCAGGGGTCTGCACGGCCCGTTTTGCTCCTCAGTACCCCGCTGCATAAAGCCTGTCAGCGCAGCACGCCTCAAAGCAGGGCTGAGCCGCGCTTGCAAGAGCTCATTGGAGGCTGTCTTGGCTCCCTGGTCTCCATTCAGCCTCCATGCCCGGGTAAGAGTATATTATTTTCTTAGCTCAAATTGCCGTTTCCAAGTCATTATTTCTCTACAGCGAGAAAACAATATTGGGTCTTATGTAATATCAACCTCAATGAATCTGGAAGTGATCATGGAATGGGTGGATTTTTTTCCCCTCCTTAAGAAAGAGAAAAATAAATTTGAGATTGTTTGCATATGGCTGAGAATATTTATGAACTATTCCCCTTGTTTCCTCATCACATATTTTACCCAGTGCGTTTGTGTGTGGTACAGAATAAATCTTTACAGGAAGGGCGGGGTGGAGAGGGGAAGAAAGCCGTTCAAGGGCTGGAGATCCATCAAGTGCCTGGGACGTCAGTGGTCGGGGGGTCTTGGGGTCTCCTGGCTTCAGGCTGGCTTGCTGCTGTCGAAGGGTCCCCCTCCTCCTTGCTTCTGCTCCCCCTTTCCTCCCCTCAGAGGAAGTCTTTTGGAGGGAGAGTTTCAGATGCCAACACGGAAGGAATTAACATCATCTTGTCGCTCTGCTTTCTTTCACATCCCCTTCACTCTCACCAGAGCAGAAAGTTCAGCAGTAACGGTTTCACAACCTGGGTGCCGTCAGCCAAAAGAGATCATTAAACTCTGTGGAGGCCAGATTGAGCCAGAGTCAGGGGAATGAATGAGTTGGCGGGTGGAAGAGCAAAGAACTGGCAGAGAACGTATTGGTGCTGGCCTTTGTCATTCGGTAAGACAGCACCGTGTTGGCATGCAAGCATGTGTGTCTAGCTCCCCCGGCCCTGCCTCTCAACACGGCTTGTCACCCAGAAGGATCCCAAGGAAGGCTAAGGGACTGGACATTCGGTCAGCAGGAGAAGCCGGGCTCCAAGCTGTTAATTTCTTCCTCTAGGTACTGGGGCTCAGAATTGGAGCTTAGGCTCTCTCGTGTTCTGCTGTACCTTGGATTATTGAGGGATATACTGACCAGTAGCTCAGCTGGTAAAGAATCTGCCTCCAATTCCTGGGTCAGGAAGATCCTCTGGAGAAGGGAAAGGCTGCCCACTCCAGTACTCTGGCCTGGAGAATTCCGTGGACCGTATAGTCCATGGGGTCGCAAAGAGTCGGACACAGTTGAGGAACTTTCAATCACTCGCTGTCTTAATGCTTGTGTTCATTTTGATCCTTCATTCCATAATGCCCTACTACATACTTAACTCCATTGATAAAATGCTTCACCATCCCCAGAGAGCCAGCTCAGAGATCAGTAAATATTTATTGAAAGGATTTGTTGAATGAATAACAATGCCCTACAATTCCCTTCTCTACATGCTTNACTCGACGGACATGACTTTGAGCAAGCTCTAGGAGTTGGTGATGGACAGGGAAGCCTGGCGTGCTGCAGTCCATGGGGTTGCCAAGAGTCAGACTTGACTGAGCGACTAAACTGAACTGAAGGCAATGACCCTGGCTGTTCTCAAACTTTACCCATTCATCTTGAGAAATTGCTGGAGAGTTTTAAATTTCTCCAGAATCATCCTCCTAATGAGCTTCAGTTGATGTTCTAAGACTCTCTTACCAAATTTCACGATGTTTCCAAGACTGGCACTCAGGCAGTAACCAGCTCAGGGGTCCAGGGTGATTTTGGAGTTAAAACCTGCAACGTCTCCTACCCCATCCATGTCTCTTTCCCTCAGATGGTATCAGCTCATCATATTTCAACAGGAATTCAATCTGATTGTTCCTTTTTCCATTAGAAGCAAGATTTTGTTATCATCTCCATAACTGAAAGGGGCAGCAGGATTTGTGGAAGCAAACAGACCCAATATAAATCACAGCTCTTTGGGTGGGGGTGGGGTGGGGTGCTAAGAAGTACTGTTGAGTATCCACCCTCTGCTGGTGCTCTTGAATAGGCCTGCAGTCCCATCCCAGTCTAGACAATTACTAAGGGGAATATAAGCATTTTTCCCAGCCCCGCTCAGTCTTTTTCTCCCAAACTGGAAACACAAAGCAGATGATGAAGTCCAAGTTCAAATGCTGCACCAGGGAGAAGGAAGTGTTGAGAAACCACATCCAACCTCCAGCCTGTTTTCAAACATTCCAGTAAGTGTTCAATGGCCGTACCTTGGGCTGGTGTCATTTCATTGTCTCAGACAAAGGCTCTCTATGAAAAGACAGACATGGATTATGTGAGGAGGGGCTGCCAGAAGGCACATTTGGGAAAAATCTGAACAAGAGCACAATACTCTGGGCTCTTCCTCTGGGGGCAACTCCTCCCTTTCATCTGCTGGAATTAACATCCAGACTGATTCCCATCACCTCAATGTCATGCTCTAAACCAGAGTCTGGAAACACAGCCTTGGGGGTGGGGGTGGGGAGGCAGAGTGGTGGGACTGATAACGCAGATGCAGTGGCCGGTGACTAGCTGTCTCTGGCTTTGTTCTCAGAGCCTAAGTAGATAGTTTCTAGGCTAGAGAATGACTGTGAGTGATGGTGACATCCTATAGCTGCTCCTTTGAGTATTTTGTTCTGTTCATAATATATATAGTTTTTAAGTTGATATGTTGCATTTTCCTTTTTATTCAGTTCAAGAAATTTTCTTTCAGGGAAGTCTCTGTTCTGTTGTTATATGTAAATGGATTATTGGCCAGATAATCACTGGGGCAAGGCTGGAAAAGTCTTCTGCCGTATTATCTCCCCTTGGATGTTCCCTCTTTGAGGGACAGGTTTCCATGCAGCCGGGGTTGCACATTTCTGGGGGAGCCCACTGCCTGTGTTATTCACCCTTCCATTTTGGACTGCTGTGGGTGTCCCTGCTGGCTCAGACAGTAAATAATCCGCCTGCAATGCAGGAGTCCTAGGTTTGATCCCTGGGTCAGGAAGATCCCCTGGAGAAGGGAATGGCTACCCACTCCAGTATTCTTGTCCGGAGAATCCCATGGACAGAGAAACCTGGAGAACTACAGTCCATGGCGTAGCAATGAGTCAGGCACAATTCAGTGGCTAACACTTAAAACAACCCCTCTAAATTAAACTCAAGAATGCCTCCTTGATATCCACTGGTTCTCTGGGGGCAGCCCTGGACTTGGGTACTCACTGTTCTATGTCCTGTCTTCCTGGAAGGCTTGACCCCTTTCCTTCTCTCATTGGGTTAGCCAAGGCTAAGGCTTCCCCCAATTTTGGTGCCTATCTCTGTCCTAGGATGTCTAGATAGCTGTTATTTCCTTATTTAATAGCCTTTTCTTCATACAAAATTATTATGTGGGCTAATTGCAGAATATTGGCAACATTTGGATAAGCAAAATAAGAAAATGAAAGTTGATAATTATTATGGTATCTCCTGGAGATGAGAACTATAAAGGCTTTCAAAGATATCTTGATGGTTGTATTTCTGTGTTTACATTATCTTTTTAAAAAATGCATTAGCAAGTGTTTACTGTTTGATTAAGGTTCACTTTTTCAGGCTGCTTAATAGTCCCGTATGGCATGGTGTACTGGCTGTCAGATTCTCTTTGGTGTGTGTTCAGTTCAGTTCAGTTCAGTTCAGTCACTCAGTCATGTCTGACTCTGCGACCCCATGGACTGCAGCACGCCAGGCTTCCCTGTCCATCACCAACTCTCAGAACTTGCTCATACTCATGTCCATTGAGTTGGTGATGCCATCCAACCATCTCATCCTCTGCCATCCCCTTCGCCTCCTGCCTTCAATCATTCCCAGCATCAGGGTCTTTTCAAATGAGTCAGTTCTTCACATCAGGTGGCCAAAGTGTTGGAGTTTCCGCTTCAGCATCAGTCTTTCCAATGAATATTCAGGACTGATTTCCTTTAGGATAGACTGGTTGGATCTCCTTGCTGTCCAAGGGAATCTCGAGAGTCTTCTCCAGTACTATGGTTGAAAAGCATCAATTCTTCGGTGCTCAGCTTTCTTTATAGTCCAACTCTCACATCCATACATGACTACTGGAAAAACCATAGCCTTGACTAGATGGACCTTTATTGGCAAAGTAATGTCTCTGCTTTACAATATGCTATCCAGGTTGGTCATAACTTTTCTACCAGGGAGCAAGTATCTTTTAATTTCATGGCTACAGTCACCATCTGCAGTGATTTTGAAGCCCCCAAAAATAAAGTCTCTCACTGTTTCCATTGTTTCCCCATCTATTTGCCATGAAGTGATGGGACCGATGCCATGATCTTAGTTTTCTGACTGTTGAGTTTTAAGCCAGCTTTTTCACTGTCCTTGTTCACTTTCATCAAGAGGCTGTTTAGTGTGTGGGGGCACTAATTAGAGAGGAGGGGCAGGGTCTGGATGCGCTCCTGTATGCTGAAGTCCCCGTGGTTGCATCCCGTGGAAAGGAGGTTGACTGAAGACACTTTCCTTGCTGTTCCATGGCAGCCCTTGAGCGAGGCCTGACCAAGGCTCTGAAGAAGCTGGATGATTACCTGAACACCCCTCTGCCGGAGGAGATCGATGCCGACACTCGCGGGGATGATGAAAAGGGCTCCCGGCGCAAGTTCCTGGATGGGGATGAGTTGACACTGGCCGACTGCAACCTGTTGCCCAAGCTCCATGTGGTCAAGGTAAGGGCGCTCTACCTGCGGGTGCCCCCAGGTCCAGGTCCATCGAAGGCCCGGGTCTCTCACGAGGATGAGACCAGGACAGGGCCACCTGCTGATGGAGAATCGGAGTTTGAAAATCTCATGAACAGGGACCCAGAGTCAACCTCTGCTGCTTGCTGGCTGTGTAGCCCCTCTGAGCTCCAGTAACACAGGCATATATTGCTTAACCAGGGCTGCTGGGAGACTAAATGTGGCCTGAAAACGCCTGGCATGTTGTAAGGGCTTCTCTGGTGGCTCAGTGGTAGAGAATCTGCTGCCAAGGCAGGAGACGTGGGTTCGATCCTGGGTCCGGAAGATCCCCTGGAGAAGGAAATGGCAACCCACTCCAGTACTCTTGCCTGGGAAATCCCATGGACAGCAGACCCCGGTGGGCTCCAGCCCTTGGAGTCACGAAAGAGTAGGATATGACTTAGTGGCGAAACAACAACAATCCTATTATATGTAGTTACATATAGTCTTATCACTCCAAAGACCTCTTCCTTACCTTTTCATCATAGGTTTTCACTGGCTACCCACTACCCCACAATCTCTATTAAGCATGCTCTTATATGCGTGTTTTCTTTGTGGGCAGACCCACCTTCTGATTTCCTGTAGCCACTCCTTGGGGCAGGCAGACAGCATCTTCCTCTTCTACCAGGTGAAGAGCTGGAGGTTGCAAGAAATGGTAGTGTTTTCTTGCTACCATTGCACTTCCCAATCATGACTAACAGAGAGTGTAATCTTTCCTATACAGCCTTAGGATACAAGAGATGGGAAGAAGAGGTGAATTCTGAGGTCATCCCAATCTCCCACCCCAAAGTGGACCCCTTCCTGTGTGTCTGTGACAGGCTTCAGCGCAGCTGTGACTGCACATTTCTGATGACAAAGAGCCCTCTGCCTACCAAGCCAACGCTACCATTTTGGACGGCTCTAGTTATAAGAACCATCCTGCCTTACATGGAGCCCAAACCCGCCTCCTTGCTTGCGTGGTTCTCTGGAGCAACACAGAACAGGGCTGCTCTCTTCATCTCATTTGAAGACAGAAGTTTTGTCCCCTGCATTTCTCTAAACTGGGCTTCCCTGGTGGCTTGCTAAGTCACTTCAGTTGTGTCCGACTCTGTGCGACCCCATAGACGGCAACTCTGTGCAACCCCATAGACGGCAGCCCGCCAGGCTCCCCCGTCCCTGGGATTCTCCAGGCAAGAACAGTGGAGTGGGTTGCCATTTCCTTCTCCATCCCTGGTGGCTTAGATGGTAACAAATCTGCCTGCAATGTAGGAGACCTGGGTTTGATCCCTGTGTTGGGAAGATCCTCTGGAGAAGGAGTTGGCCACCCACTCCAGCATTCTTGCCTGGGAAATCCCATGAACAGAGGAGCCTGGCGGGCTACAGTCCATGGGGTCACAAAGAGTCAGACACGACTGAGCAACTGAATAACAGCAACCATAACATATACATGTATATATGTTGTTTTTCAGATTCTTTTCCATTATAGGTTAGTATAAGATACTAGAGTATAGTTCCCTGTGCTATACAGTAGGGCCTTGTTTAGATATTTTATTAATATATATAGAAGTGCATTTATGTTAATTCCAAACCTCCTAATTTATCTCCCCTTCTCCCACTATCACCTTTGAGAACCATAAGTTTGTTTTCTAGTACATCCTTTTCTGACCCTCATCAGTCCAGAGAAAAAGACAGTAAGATCGTAGAGCTAGACTGCTTTCTATTTCTACACATGTTGATATCTTACTGTCTCAGTCAGACAAAAAGCTCTGTGAGGATAGGTCTTCTCCAGGCCTAATGGTGGGTACATGGTGGCCCTTTGATTAACACTCATTGGTTGACCATTTGATCACCTAGCTTGTGATGCTCAGTTGCTTTCCACCCGTCACTAAGGAGATTCAGGTGCAATCATTTATCAGCTGGATATCTGCCTGTTGGTTTTCAGCTGATGTCCTGAGCTGGAAATCAGAACCCTGCATTCAGAGCACACACCAGTTGGAGTTGAAAACATAGGCTGTGCTTGCCCTGGTGCTCCCAAGGGATGCATCAGGGCTGGAGACTGGGAGGGAATCATGCTTGCCAGGGCTGATGGGCAGAGCAAATGCAATCCATTCATATGAAGACACTTTGGGGTTCAGGGCCAAGCCGACGGTGATTTGTAAGTCTCACCAAGCTGTATGTCTTTGAAGTTATTAATAACTGCATGCTCACCCCACCTCCAAAACATCCTTTATCCCCTTTTCCTGAGGACAAAGCGGCACCATTATGGGTGATGATTCTATCAGTAACATTATCAGAGTGAGGTCATGGGAAGAACGCCATTCTAGAAGTCCAGAGACTCAAGTTCTGTCGTTGTTGTTGAGTTGCTCAGTCATGTTTGACTCTTTGCAACCCCATGGACTGCAGCATGCTGGACTTCCCTATCTATCACCAACTCCCGGAGTTTGCTCAGAGTCATGTCTATCGAGTCAGTGATGCTATCCAACCATCCCATCCTCTGTTGTCCCCATCTCCTCCTGCCCTTGATCTTTCCCAGCAGCAGGGTCTTTTCCAATGGGTCAGCTCTTCACATCAGGTGACCAAATCATTGGCGCTTCAGCATCAGTCCTTCCAATGAATATGCAGGATTGATTTCCTTTAGGATGGACTGGTTTGATGTCCTTGCTGTCCAAGAGACACCACATCTAGCAGCAGGAGCTGGGACAAGTCGTCTCCTCTTTGGGGAAGTCATTTTTCTCTTCTCTAAAAGAAGAGGTGTGGATGATTATTTCCTTCTCACCTCTTACCCTCTCTTCCTCCCCATCTCTCAGTCACACGTGGTTGGACCACCCAATCAAGAATCATGTGTCCAATCAGGTGGACAAATGGACCTCCCAGGCCCCACACTTCATCCTCCGGTTCCTCCAGTTCCTTCCAGCCCTAGACTCCCAGTTACACCCATCCTTGAATGATGTTCAGTGTGTTATTCACTTGGAGGAGCTGGAGATCGGAAGGAGGATGACCCACAAAAGGACAAAGGCTGGGCCTTGCTTCCCATCTCCTTGGATTTCTGCTGATCCAGCTTATCAGAGCCCAGAGCCCTGGCAAACCTCTGAAGTGCAGAAAACGTGAAAGGAGAGCCAAGTCAGACCTCCAGTTTGGCTTCAGACGCCAAGACTTAATCTGGGCTGGGGGAGCTAACTGTTTTCATATGAAAGCAAATTCAGAACATGAGCATGGAGGTTCCTGCAGACGTCAGAGCTTCTTCTGTGCACATCCCCTCTCTCTCTTTCATTGGCTTTCCTTCAGCTTATCTGCATCCTTGGAGGCCGAGTTGCTCTGGCCCTGCTGCTCGCTGACAGCCTGGTTTGAACTTTCATTGTCTGGCTGACTCCTATTCTCATCTCCCAGCTCGAGCCAACATGTGAAGAAGGAACCAGCTCTGGTCAAGCTCAGGGTGTATGGATCCGGGCAGGGAGGGGCGTGTGGGACACTTGTCGCCGCCCCCAAGACCCTTGTTCCCCACCCCACCCCCGGACCCTCACATGGCACAGGGACCTGTAGGGAGCTATACATATAAACACAAATATATATTCATATGTTGCATCTCTGTTGTTTTCAAGCTCAAATTATATCCTTTAAAAACCTGAAAATGAATTCCAGCCCCAAGAGACTCAAGGCCGCCCCATGGATCAGTTTTTTTTTTTTTTTTAATGGGTGTCTTGACCTTATTATGGCTCTTTTTCTTTCCTTTTCTCCATTTTTTAAGTTGAAGTATAGTTCATGTGCAATATAAGTTACAGGGATACAACAGTGATTCACAATTTTTAAAGGCTCTCCTCCATGTATGGTGATAAGGAAGTCACTCCGTCTTGTCTGACTGTTTGTGACTCCGTGGCCTGTAGCCCTCCAGGCTCCTTTCTCTGTCCATGGAATTCTCCAGGCAAGAATACTGGAGTGGGTTGCCATTCCCTTCTGCAAGGTATCTTCCCTACCCAGGGATCGAACCTGCATTGCAGGCAGATTCTTTATCATCTGAACCACCAGGGAAGCCCATACTCCATGTATAGTTACTATAAAATACCGACTATATTCTCTGTATTATACAATACACACTTATAGGTTATTTTATACACAGTAGTTTGTGCCTCTTAATGCCCTACCTCTGTTTCACCCTTCCCTTCTGGTAACCACTAGTCTGTTCTCTGTATCTAGTTTTCTTTTTTAGATTCCACATGTAAATTGTAACATACATTATTTGTCTCCCTCTGTCTGACTTATTCACTTAGCATAATGCTAAGTCCCTCCATGTTGTTGCAAATGGCAGAATTTCATTCTTTTTCATGCCTGAGTAGTATTCCATTGTGTATATGTATCACATCTTCTTTATCCATTCATCTGTTGATGGACATTTAGGTTTCTCCCATGTCTTGGCTATTGTAAATAGTACTTTTATGAACATTGGAGATAGTGTATCTTTTCAAATTAGTATTCTCATTTTTTTTAAAGATATGTACTCAGGAATGGAATTACCAAATCACATGATGGTTCTGTTTTTAGTTTTTTGAGAAACTTTCATGTGTTTTCCATAGTGGCTGCACCAATTTGTATTCTGTGGGCTTTTTTTCATTCTCTCTGGAAGTTTCAAGCTGCTTCCCTCATTGGAGCCTCCACCCCTGCATAGATTTGCTCCTGACCCAAGACAGCTTCTTCTTAAGGCTGTGGGCAAGCCAAAGGCCCCTTCGTCTTGCAGTGAAGAGAGGGCTTTGTCCAAGGACCCTGACCCCATCACTTGTGCTCATTGGCCACACCTATCCTGGTGGCTTCAGTACTGACCTCCCCAAACCAGTTATTTTAACCAAGAGAATTTAATATAAAGAAGTGCTAAGTACCTAAGAACTAGGGAGGCAAAATGTAAAATGTACCTTATGGTTCCTTCTTCAGGGCAGGGGGCAAAGTGAAGAGTTTGGAATGATCAAAACTTGAACTATATAATAGCCAAGACATGAAACAACCTAAATGTCCATTGACAGATGAATGGTTAAAGAAGATGTGATGGGTCTCAATGAATTCTGACATTAGATAATGTTTCTTGAGCACTTAAAGCCAGCACCTCCCCCAGATCACTTTATATATATTAACAAATTTACTACTCCAAAATAGGTCATCTTATTATCTCCATTTTAGAGAAAAAGAATTTGGGGGTCAGAGAAATTAAGTAGCTAGTCCAAGATCACACAATTGTCAAGTAATGGGGTCAGGATTACAGATCCAGTCAACTGGGATCCAGAGCCCACACTTTTAACCACTATGCTACCGTGTCTTTCAATACAAACACCACTTCCCCAGAAGGCTCAGGTCCACAGCCCCGAGTGTGGCAGATGAGGGAGAGAACAGAAATCACCATCTGTTCACCTCCACATACCCTGAAGCTCCATATGCATTCCAGCATCTAACTTGCATATTTTTTGCTTTGTATTCCCTTCTGTAGATAAGGCTGGATGGGGGAAGAAAAAAGTTGTCTGTAATTCTATCAGTCAGACATATCTTCTGCTAACAGATTGGTGTATATACTTCTGTTCATCATACATATTTCTCCTAATGCTTTATACTGTACTTCCAACTGAACAGTCTCTTGAAGCATTTTTCAAGTCCCTGCAATTTCCTCTGCAGCATCATTTTTCATGGCTCTCCGGTATGCCACTGCATGTATATATGACAACACATTTATCCATTCATGTGTTGTTGGACATTTGTGTTGGGTACCTTTTTTTGCTATTTCCAAATAGTCCTGCATTCCTATTTATAAGAAGCTAAATCTTCTTGTACACTCATGATATTTCCTAAGGAAAGGAATACCTAGAAGCAGAATTACTAGATCAGAGGACAAATCACAGTTGCTTGGGAAAATGTAATACAGCTAAATAAATAAAACAGCACAGGATAAATAAAACAAACTGTGTTGCATTAAAAATGCAGCACCATCACCTTGCACAACAAGCGTCTTGCTGCTGGCCCCGGGGGACACGTGGAGGGTCTCCGCGCTGTGCACACACGGGGCCACATCACTTACACTTCCCGGTGATCTATTTCATGCTTTAACACCATCTCTATTGCAGATTGTGGCCAAGAAGTACCGCAACTATGATTTCCCGGCTGAGATGACGGGTCTCTGGCGGTACCTCAAGAATGCCTATGCCCGGGACGAGTTCACCAACACCTGCGCGGCAGACAGCGAGATCGAGCTGGCCTACGCGGACGTGGCCAAGCGCCTCAGCCGATCCTGAACTTGGCCGTCTCTCCCCATCGCTGCTGCAGAAGGACTCCACCTCTCCCTGAGGACTCTGGCTTCACACACTCCTCTTCCATGCTGCCTCTGGAAACTTCTGTCTCCATCAGGCCACATCTCACTGGCATCATTGGAACCACCCCCCCCCCCGCCCCACGCCTGCTGTCTTTGACCAAAGTCAGCGCCAGCCCCCTCTGGTCAGACAGGAATCCTGCAAGCAGAAATGAGAGAAACAGTCAAGCTGTCAGCCTTTCGGACCTGGACTGGGTTCCGTGTGTTTGGGGTCGGTGCCTGGGGGAGCCCTGTCTGTGGGATTGTCACTGGCCCCTTTTGCCAATATTGAAATATCTCTTCAGATGCATTAGAAACCTGCAACATGCTGTCCTCGTCCACCCTCCTCTTTGTCAGTAACTCCAAGGCCAAACACCGTCTTAGTTCTTATTAGAAAGAGGTGCAGGGCTGTATTAGGGGAGATGAGAGTGGATGGGGCAGACGTGGGTCTGGGCACCTGTTAGACACACCTCCAGTCACTCACCACTTTCTGGCACTCTTGTCACTTCGGGCACTGAAGATTAGAAAACTATTTCAGACAGCCTCAGTTTTCTGCAGGGCTGGGCGCAGTCTGATGCTATCACGTACTTGGCTTGATGCTGATCTCTATGCTTATCTGTCTAGGCCTTGCCAGGAAGGGAAATTAGCATGCCATTCCAAACTGGGGTGACTGGGAAGGGGAGGGGAGGGGAGGAGTGTTGATGCCAAAAGGCCCGTGGGGTCTACCAGCCATGGGGTTTGCTTGCTTATGGGAGTGGTTTCATTGGGGATTACATGCCTGGGTTTGACTATGTTTATCCACAATTGAATTTTGGTCTCTGAGAAAGCAGATGGGAGTGGGGGTGGGTGGGGGGATGGATGCACGAGGCTAAGACCTTTGTATGAGGCTCAGTGCTCCCTGGGAATCTTTTAGATAGATCTTTTCTCTTATGATCTAAGTCTCGAACCAGTGATATCATGTAGCTGCCATCTTCATGGCAAAATACCAACAATTGACCAAAAATGACTCTCCAGCTTCTTCAAGTTGTTCCTGGATGTGGGTCTGCTAGCTGGGTGCTCTCTGATTCAGCTTCAGCCTCTGACGTGCAAGAGATACATTTAGGAGGTGGCTTGATCGTGGAACCTTAGGAAGAAAGTCCGTGGGCCTTTCTGATTGGGAAACCATGTGGTTTAAACTCGGAGAAAAAATACATAGGCATCTGGGTAAATTTTCCTACCATCTGCCTCAAATGCCCGATGAAAAAGAGGAAGCTGTTTTTTAGCTAATATTTCACTCTGTAGTCATTCTCCTTGAGTTTCACCTTAAAAGCTTATCCTGCCTGAACCCAGGGACCTGTGCAGAGGAAACGAAGAAAAATGAGCTAGTCATCAGCTCCCTCTTGCCATGAATGCCCTGGGAGAAAGTCCACCCGCCGCAGACCCTCACCTTCAACAATCCTTCCTTCTGTGTTGCCTGTTGATGGAGGCCGAGGCTCCCAAGTGCTCGAAAGCCCCAGGACTTGGCTCTCTGCTCAGTGAGGGCAGGACAGCATGGGGCCTTCCTGTAGAAACATCATGAGGTTCTAACCCAAGTAACATCTGGACCTACCTGCCTCCAGGGATCTCTGGAGAGAAAGGGGACCCAATGATCAGAGCAGAGGGGTAGAAGCAGGGGGTCTCCTTTAGCCCAGGGAGAAAGATGCCATTTCTCGGTGGGGCATCCTGTAAGCCTGAGACCTTTCATTCAGAAGCAGAAAGAATTGATTCATTTCCTCCTCTAAGGGAACCTCTGCAGGACTCCCTGATAACTTTGTCCCTGGAGATGTTTGAAAAGGCGAACTGATGAGGAAACAGTCCTTCTGACAATAGGGGAAAGCCTCATGCTGGTCTCATGGGAGATGAACGCTTAAATGATCCCAAAGGCCTGTTCATTAGTGTGAAATCCTGTTGTCCTCAGAGACCCTTCCCTGAACATCACAGCGTAAGGGCGATGATCTAAGAGGCAGTTGACTTTCCTGAGACCCAGAAAGGTGCTGTTCTTGAGGTATACCTGAGAAGCACAGCCAGTGAGCGACAGTGAAAATGGCAGGATGCCCAGGCAGAGAAGCTCCCCAGGTGGAGTAGCACCCGAGGCAGAGTGCCTCCCACTGAGGATTTTTGAACACTGAGGACACTGGATATTCAGAATCCAGCAATTGGCAAGTCTTTAAACACAGCCTTTAAAAACAAACAAGCCAAACTAAATCAATATTGTTGGTTCTAGCTGTTCCTTCTGTGGTTGACTTAGTTTTACATCAGTAACCATGTTAGGGCACAGGGGTGGGGTTGGAGCAGTTATATGACCCATGGTAACCATTTAACAGAGGGAGAGGAGTTATAGATGGTTGACATTTCCTGGTACTCAGTCCAGGAATATCTTTTTATTGCAGCAGTAGAATCATATGATGCAACCGACTATTGATTTAGAGCTTAAACGTCTATGACAGGTTTATCAGAGTATTTTTAAATAATATTGCCTTATGATGATTCTTTTCCAAAGAGATTTTTCTCCACATGCTTCAGTCTCCCTGGGTTTTGGCCATAACCTTGTCATATCATCTCCCAACCACACTGTGTAAAGGTCCTCTGGTGTCCCCAGAATCAGCTCAGGGAGTATTGAAGGTCTGCAGTTTGACCCTGAACTCCAGAGTGTTGAGATGGGAAATGACCCTTGTTATTGGTCTGGCATGCATATCAATACCTCAAAAAGCATCTCAGTGGCAGTAAGAGGGGATTTACTTGGGTTGAGATTCTATTTTACTCTAGATTTATTTCTCTTCTTTGGTTTTTACATCACTTTTTTTTTTTTTTTGGTGGGTTGGCATAGTGTGAGGCAGAGGGAGAAATAAGAATCACATTCAGAACAATTGTGTTGAATTTACCCATCTTCTCAGTCCTGCCTGCCTCTCAGGTTGCCCTGAGAGAGTGTATTGGATAAGATTTTAACAGCTATAAAAGATGAGCTGGATCAGTAAAATCCAGACTGGTCCAGCACATAGCTCCTTCTATCGCGCACCTTTATTACCTGACACTTCAGAATCACCAGTATGAGTTTGGCTGTCTTCTTTTGAACAAACAATATTGTTTTGAAAAGTGAAACCCACACTCCATTGGTTTGTTTGACCACAGGTCTCAAACTAGTTTCGTCTTCCCAAGAAATGACACTGTCGTCAGTGTTCACTTATCTTGCTGGTGGGGCCATGGAAATGCTTGATCTTTTCATTAGAAAGAGGCCATGCCAAGAAGGAGTTTTCCTGGGCTGAATTTTCTAGCGTTTGTCAAATGAAACAACGGAAATACTTCATAACACCTGTACCCACTGGCCGCTCTGCAGAAAGACAAGACCAAGCATCTTAGAATTGTTGTAGAATGGATCACATCTGGAATGGACCCTGAAGATCTAAGATCCTAGAAATCAGCAAGGTCTGGACAAACAGAATGAAAAAGGAGGCAGTGTCAGGAAGATACAGGTCTACCTAGTAAGTTTTCCATCGAGAGAAAACAGTGAGAGTTTGTGTCTGAAATTAAGTTGGTCTAGGGGCAGGGGACATCCAGTACATAGGTCTTTGACTCCTATTTCCAAGGGCCAGGAAGCCAGTTCAGCAGCAGAGGGAGCCAAGATGCTGGTGACTTCTCCTTGGAATGAGCAGCATTAACCCATGATTAATGATTCCCAAGGGATCACTTCCTTTTTTTAATAATAATGTTTAAAAGCCTCTGGAACATTAGAAAAAGAAGTGTGCATGGGAAGCATCCTGGTTCTGATGTGAGGCCCGAAGTGTTCACATCTTGGCTTTGGGACCCTCCTAGCACACGCGGCCCATTGGTTTCTACCCACGGCTCTTGGCGTGTAATTCAAACAACACATGCCCTCCTATGAATGCATCATCCACTCCCTTTGTCATTGTTCTCCTCCCAGCTTAGTTTCAGGATCCTTTCATTTTGTGATTAGGTATGATCCAAAGTGTGCATAGTCTTACTTAATGTTACTTAAGGAAATGGATCCAACGTTCCCCTCCTTAACCAAAAAGAAAATTAAAAATTGCCTCACTGTAGAACTTGGGTTAATCTATTTCTATAAAAGCAATCTTTTTTTTTGACAAAATATAATTTTAAGGATACAGTCATCTATGATATTTATGTATAGAGATTTTGCAATATTGACTATGCATATGCTTAAAATATAAAGTATCTGACTGATGTTTGAACTTGTCTTTCTTTCCTGACCACCTGGCTATCCCATTTTATAAGCAGGAGAGTTAACTAATTTAGCAAAGAAGCCTAGCTTTTATAAAAGATCAAACATTTCACTTTATAAAAACACTCCCAATGATGGTCACTTGATTTTTCTTAAGACCTTTAACTGTGGTGATAAAATAACAGGACTTGCTTTTAAGCCTTAATAATGTAAAATTCCTTTTTAATGAAGACATTGCTGAGTGTTTTCCTCATGAATCTGAACCAGTTATAAATTTGTTTTCTGGTCTTGATTGGTATTGACTAATTCAAATAAAGTTGGTTTATTTTCAAATAGTACAAAATCGATCATCAGATGTCTTATTGAAGGTGGGGATTTCCTATGCTGTTTGAAAAGAGTATGAAATACTTCTTTTTTCCAAATGTTATTTGATTTTCCCATTACAGAAGAAAATATGTTCATTCTTCTTAAAATACAAAAGCAAATAAAATTTTTAAAAAATGAAATAGGGAATTCTCTGGCTGTCCAGGCATTAGACCTTGGCGCTTTCACTGCCCTGGTCCATGTTCAATCCCTTGTGGGGGAACGAAGGTCCCACAAGCCATGTGGCACAGCCAAAAAAACATGTAATAAAAAGAATGAAACAATGCCATTTGCAGCAACATAGGTAGACTGGAAATGATTATACTAAGTGATATAAGCCCAATCAAAGACAAATGTCGTGTGATATCACTTATGTGTGGAATCTGAAAAGAAAAAAGATACAAATGAACTCATTTACAAAACAGAAATAGATTCACAGGCATAGAAACAGGCCCACAGAAAGCAAGTTTATGATTACCGAAAGTGTAGGGAAGAGGCATAAATTAGAAGGATGGGATCAGCAGATACACTGTGCTGTGCCTTGCTTAGTCTGGTGCTTTGCAACCCAATGGACTGTAGCCCACCAGGCTCCTCTGTCCATGGGGATTCTCCAGGCAAGAATACTGAAGTGGGCTGCCATGCCCTCCTCCACTAGTGTATATAAAATAGATTAAAAGCAAGGACCTATGTATAGCACAGGAAACTCTACTCAGTATATTGTAATAACCTATAAAGGAAAAGAATCTGAAAAAGAACATATATATAACTGAAGCACCATACTGAACACTTGAAACTAACACAACCTTGTAAATCAACTATGCGTGGCATGGCGTGTGCACTCAGTCGTGTCTGACTCTTTGTGACCCGTGGATTGTACCCCACCAGACTCTTCTGTCCATGGGATTTTCTAGGCAAGAATACTAGAATGGGTTCTATTTCCTTCTCCAGGGGATCTTTGCAATATAGGGATTGAACCATCATCTCTTGCTTCTCCTGCATTGGCAGGCAGATTCTTTACCCGCTGAGCCTCTGGGGAAGCCCATAATCAACTACATTTCAATTAAAAAAAAGAAAAGAAAAAAGGATAGAGGAATAACAAGGAAAAGCAAGAAGCATTTGACCCAGCCATCTAAAAATGGATTTTTATTTTAGCAAGGCTAGAAATCCTATTGTAGTCCAAGGGTCATGTGAAAAAAATATACTGATGTTCCTTCATGGGCCTCAATTCAGTTTCCTACCTGGCTTGTACCTGGGGATGGGCCAGCAGTGACCGTGCAAGGGTGATTAATACTTTAGAATACTGGCTTCCCTGCACTGAAAGGTCTCTCTTGGCCCTCAATGGCTCCACCCTCTCAGCCTTCCTGACCTGAAATTCCCACCCTTAACATCATGTCACTGACTGTGGATTAAGTTCTCCAGAATCCTCAGGAAGATTTACCTGGAGTCAACAGGCAACAGTCAACTCGTCAGCACCCGAGGAGTACCTCTGTGAGCGTTCACGTTGCTGGATGCTGCAACGCTCTTAGCAGTACCCTATGCACTCTATGCTGTGACAAAGTCTTCTCATCTCTTCGGAAGGGATCAGACCCTTGCCTCAGGAGATGAGTCCTGGCAGGAAATGCAGCCTGGAGCTCCGAGAAGATGCTGTTGCTGGTCCTCTCTCCATCCCGACCACCCCCGTCTTCCTCTGGCTGCTCTGATGGGCTCAGGACTCTACTTCCCCCTCCCTCCCTCCTCCCCACCCATCCTCTCCCTCCTCATCTTTCTGTGACTCAGGTGAGAATGGTTCTAACCTCAGGTTCAAGGGTGAATCATAAATGGCCTGAGCTTGTCCTCCTGGCTGTGGTTGGTTTCAGAATGGGCTGTTGACCAAGTTTCCCCCAGTACTGTGAGAGGAGGTTTGTTCAGGAGATTCTTAGAAATATTCTTTAGGAAATGACTCCCCAAATCACTGCCTCTGGGGCTGCCTTGGGATGTGGGTGTGCAGTCCGGAGCTGCTGCTGCTCTCTGGTGACCATGAGGGTCGAGCCTCAGGCAAAGGCAATAGTACACCGAAATGCGGCAAGAGTGGGAACAGCCTGGGTCCTTGATGGGCCCAGAGCTGCTGAATTGTCAAACCCTAAAATTGGTTCCAATCTTATATTTCCTGTCTTCTAACACATCCGAGACTGTCTGAGGGTGTTCATTGTTTATTGTGTTGAGTGGCCAAAAACAATCTATATGATACATTAGCCAGGTGTGTTGTTGTTGTTCATAGCCAGTTAGATCAATAGTTGGCTCACCCATTGTTTGAATGCGGAGGGTCTCCTCTACGGGTTGCCCAAGAGCTGGGAGCATGGCCTTCACCTCTTTGTACCTTGTTTCCTTGCCCATTTGCCATGATGAAACCAAGGGCATGCAAGTGGTGATCACTGTGCTTGGCATTGAGGAGAATGGAGCCCTGCTCCAGAGAGATTTCCAGAAGGTGAACTTGAAGTGAGAGTATCTCATACATTTCAAAGATGTGTGCTCTGTCTGTTTTACTTTCATGTCTAGTAGCTAAGACCCCCAGAGTCCTCAGTAAGTTTCGCCTTGTGGGAAAAGACATGGATATCAGTTTGGAGAGGTAAGAAGCTGAGGATTAAAAACAACAGTCAGAATTTTAATCATAGGTCCATCACTAACTTATTATGTGATTTGATGAGAGGCCCCTTTTGAGTCTCAATTTCCCCTTGGTGGGATTGGGAGTAGGTTACTAAGTCCTCTTGCCCATGAGACTAAACAAATCCAAATGATGAAGCTTGGAGCAGAGCAAGGTTTATTGCAGGGGCAAAGCATTTTTAAGAGTCTCATGCTCTACCGACTGAGCTAGCCGGGCTTACGCAGGTGGTGGTGGGAGGGTAGCAGGGTGTGTGATCAACTTGTGCCCAGTTCTCTGATTGGCTGATGGTGAGTTAACAGGGCGGGGTCACAGGGTTAACTTTATCAACTCTTAGGCTTCAGGAGGCTTGGAGTTCTGTGCTCAGGGTCATCAAGTAGTTAATATCTTCCATTTGGTGGTGGGGGGGTGGGGAGCAGGTTTCACATCCGCAAAACAACTCAGGAAATTTGCATCAAATACTATTATCTATTCAATAGGTTCTTCCCCAGGGGCTCAGTGGTAAAGAATCCACTGGCCAATGAAGGAAAGCCAGGTTTGATCCCTGGGCCGGGAAGACCCCCTGCAGGAGGAAATGGCAACCCACACCAGTTTTCATGCCTGGGAAGTCCCCTGGACAGAGGAGCCTGGCAGGCTACAGTCCATGGGGTCACAAAAGAGTTGGACACAACTTAGTGACTAAACAACAACAACAATATGACAGGTACTTCAGAAAGGAGCTAAAGTAGGGGATACAGGAGAGCCTAGTCCTGGGAAAATCCCGTAGGGTCCTGCTCAGTTTTACAAGAGGATGAAATCCCTGATGAAGAGTATTCATGAATAATACAGTGCTATTTCAAGTGGAATGACATTTCAGCCAATTGGTATCTTCGGTCTGTTGGAAGATTTCACTGTGGTCGTTAATAGAAACAGGTGATCACCAGAAAGCACGTAGATACTAGGAATTCATGTGTGGAGTTGAGAGGGCAGGGCTCCTTCAAAGTTGTGTGTATGTGTGTTAGTTGCTCATTTTCATCCCCATGGACTGAGGCTCACCAGGATCCTCTGTCCATGGGATTCTCCAGGCAAGGATACTGAAGTGGGTTGCCATTCCCTTCTCTAGGGGATCTTTTCAACCCAGGGATCAAACCTGGATCTCCCACGTTGCAGGCAGATTCTTTACCATTTGAGCCACCAGAGAAATTTCAGGCTATCCTGGAGTTCATATCCATATTAGTCTCATGTCTTTCTTATCTATATTGAATGAAATCTACTTCTAAATGCAGAGTAAATTCCTGTGGGCCCTGCAATTAGTTTCATTGAGCTGCATTTATTTACCCAGAAAGTAAAGCAGACTGAAGTTTTGAAAAGATTTTCAATATAAAATACAGAAATTTTTTAAAGTTTGAGCTTAACCCATCTTTAACTCGAATATCTCAATATCCCAAGCCTTCAAATCAGTGAATTTGTTATAGGACTTGGAGTCTAGATCACACAAGATGCATAATACAAATATAATAGAGACAAGTGTAAAATCAAATCCTGGTCCACCTGGGGCTTGGTTTATGCCATTTTGTAGCTACTTAAAATTGTTCCCTGTGTGTCAATCACTCCTCATAGCTCCCACTGAAAAACTAAGCTCTTTCAGGGACTGGAACATAGGTTATTCAATTTTTATGCCATGCCTCTCCTGTCCAGCACTCCGAAAATATTAGATGTGCTAAAAAATAAACTATACTCCAATAAATGTTTAAAAAAATTTATCAGTGGTTGATTGGAGATTCATGAGACATATTCTAGACTTCTGGTTCACCTTGGATCTTACTTCTCAATTTCTTGGAACCCCTGACCCCTCACTTTATCACCCTTCTGAAAATGGAGTGATAACAGAGTCTAGGTCAGAAATGCATGTCTGTGTTTGTTAAAATATGCTTTCAATATACATCTGAAAAATGGATCCTTCTAATACAGTCTGTATAGCACTAATCTGTCTGTCTGAAAAGATTAAAAGTTGTCTAATGCACATTGAATTGCATGGTTGTGATTAGATAGTGATTTAGCCATTTTCTCAAGTTGGCAACAAAATTCTGCCTTGATTTGGTCTTATGTTTAGAAATACATTAGAAGCTTTGCCATGAAGGCAATACTGGATACTATAGCCCTCAATTACCTGGCTTAATATGAGTTACACATATACTTTTTTCTGAGTATATGTTCATTGATAAAATTTAGAAAATACAGATAAACATAATAAAAGAAACTAGAAGAATACCTATAACCCCTCCACCCAGAGACAGCCACCTTTAGTTTATATGTAATTATCTTCCTAGACTTTTTCTAGTGAGATTGAAACATAAA